AAATTAAACTAGTTAGCAATTGATTTCAATTGAGCAAGTGCCTGCTTTCCAGTTCCCCGGAGAAATTATGTATGCAATGCAGTGTCTCCCTCTCTCTCTCTCTCTCGCTCTCTCTCTCTTGCCCCCCCTCCCTCCCCACATTCGTCCCCTATGTTTCAAGGGTTTTTGAATAACATGCTTGAGCCACTGAGATTCCGTGCTTTGCACACTAAAACCCCTGCCCTCAATTTTATGGTCAAAACAAATTGGACGAGAAGGAATCTATCAGCATCGTTTCAGACAAATGGGTATTGATTTTGGGTTGCGGAACTGAAATGAGATCATGCCTCACCTTGGGATGTCCCGGAAACTCTTGGCCGGCAGCACGCTAGGCTAGGCTAGGGTGGGCTCGCCTAGGCTTGGGTGGGCTTCGCGTTGGGTCTGCCGAGCCGGACTGTGCGTTGGTGGAAGCACGAAGATTGCTACAGCTTTGCATTTCATTAGTGACTGATGAGCCACTTTAATCTCTTCCCCCGCGCCGGTGACATAAACTCTGACTCCTGAATGCAATTAATCTCGGATATTAAAGGTGGTGTCAGCCCCGGCTCTTAACCACTGGGCTTGCTGCATAATGTGGCTGGTAATTTGGAGATAGGTACACTTCTGTAAATGTCAGTGTCGCTCTATGCTGAAGATATCTTCTTTTGTTTAACGGGGTAAATGCCGGGAATCAGCTCAGGTTTCCACTTTGGGTTCAAGCGAATGACTGACACGAGGTGTTTTGAACCATATCTGTGTGATTTTAACTGCGGCACATTCAGAATCACCTCAGGGGAACCCCATTTGTCCTGCAGAAACTCCACCAGCTCCATTAGATTCAGTGCTGAGATATGTTTGCCTTCATAAAGTCTGCTCAGCTCTGCACTACTCATTTCCCCCCTCCCACAAGAGCTTCTAACCTCAATAACCTCAAGTGCTTTTCTGTCTGTTGGTCTCTCGCTCTCTCTGTCTTTCCCCTCTCTCTCTCTCTCTCTCTCTCTCTCTTTCTGTGTCTACCTTTCTGGCTGTCTTTCTACTTTCCTATCTTTCTTTCTATGACATCCACATTATACTCAGAGGCGATGGGCCAGACAGTGGATTTTCCACCTCTATGCAACTTCCCCGAAATTGACATGAAATTTACTGGGATGAGAAAAAAACCGACAGTGTCTCCACTAAAACTCGCCCCAGGTTGGTCTCACCTGAAGGGCTTTATGCAGAGCCACATGGCGAGTAACAAGAGTGAAAAAGTTGATGCTCAGTTAATTAAAAAGACCATTGACAGACATTCACACAGTTTGCTTTCTTGCTTTTAAAATAAATTGGTGTTAAAAGCATCCGTATTGATCCGTCCGCATCACCCGCTCTGATTTCTGTCGTTAAAATGCTCACGGTGGTTTACAAGGACTGAGATTTGGGTAAACATGCTCTGCTTTTAGAGGGTGAAATCTCTCCAATGTAGTGCAGAGTATTTTTGCAGCTAGCGCACATAGGAACAGGAGGTGGCCATTCAGCCCCTTCAGCCTGTTCCTCCATTCTATTAGATCACAGCTGATCTGTACCTCAACTTCAATTCCCAGTCTTTGCCCCATATTCCTTGACACCTGTAAGGTTCATTTCGAAAGAATTGTGTTGGACGCCTATTTGGAAATGTTCCAGTTTTCGGCGGAGTTCAGATTCCGCTCACATTGTGCCATTTAATTCCATAAATTTTTCCAACTTTTCTAATTCTCTTACTTCTAAGAGTTGCTTCTAACTTGTAGTTTCGTGCCCTGGTTTGTTTCTTCCCTCCCATCCCTTTCCAATTCCAATCAACATTAGGGGTCAGCCTGGCGCAGTTACTAGCAATCTCGCCTTAGTTCTGGTTTCAAGTCTCAGGTTGGAACTTTGAACTCAAATACTATAGTTGTACAATGCTGGGGGACCGCTTTATTGCTTAAAAGTTGCATCTTTACAGTATATTCCATGAAGCACTTTGAGACGTCTAGAAGGTGTGAAAAGTGCTATATCAAATGCAAAGATCATTATCCATTATTATTATATTATTATATTTCTCCCACAAAGTATACAGTCAATTCACTTTACAGTTTATTCTGTGAAGCGCTTTGAAACGTCTCGAAAATGTGATAAGACGCTGTATCAAATGCGAGGATTATTATTATTGTACGAAACTCCCAACTTTGGTGTTAATCTGTTAACTTTTGCAGCGTTAAATTGATATCTTTCTGCTTTTTCATTTCCCCCACCTCATCTTCCATTTAATGAGAACCAGTCGAGTTCCAACACAGTTGAACGCTGCTCACCTACACTTCGAGCATTTTTTCACCACAGCCCACAGGTTGCTCTTGGGAGTGTTCAGCAGCATTGAGCAATGCGCCAGTTGAAGCTGGATTCATTGCGTTCTCGGTGACACTGGCAGCGAACGTTAATTTTCTGCAGGAGAGGATTGTACCTGGGAAATGTCTCTGATCCTTTGTGTAATAAATAAAACTACAAATTGATGTGCGGAATATATTTTATCTAATCAAACCGTGGGAGATTGAGGCATTGTTAATCATTTTTTATTACGAGCTGGCCCAAGGCACTCGACCAGTTGGAAAAACCAATTTACCGAATGCGTGCAGTACAAATCTGTACAGTAATTGTGAATCATCACAGTCTGGACGGGAGAACATAAAACAAAACCTTTCTTAATAAGTATGCAAGCCATGTGGGTGCCTCAGTACGCTGAAGTTTTAAAGGCACAAATAGGATAATGGAATTTGAATGACACACGCCTACCTTTGTGGCGCGTGTGCGCACATGTGCGTGTGTCTGCGTGTGTGAGATGTGCACCATTAGTTTTATTAGTTGTGCTGAAAAACGCTGACCTGTAGCATTTCAACACCAAGGAGCTGGAGGATGTAATTCCACCGTTGGTTTATTTTAAGCTCCCCCGATGGTTTTTGTCCTGTTGATGTATTCTTCTTAAAATTGATATCTACCTACGATGGAGTTTGCATGTGACTGAATTGAGCTGTATTTACTAGCAAATTGGCAGCAATGGTTATTTCATGGAGCTGGGATTCTCAGTTCAGTTCAGCTCAGCGTGTTTTTCTTTGAATGAGTACAGAACATCAAAGGCTAAGGAACATCACTTTAGCACATTATGTTTACTTGGACATCCGTATCAAAAGAGGATTATTATTATTGGTCATTTTGAGGACAGCAAAACGTGCGGTGAGAGCAAAATGGGGAAATATGTTGCACATGTATATAATGTGTTAAACTAAAGCTTCCAGAAAATTCTTATGTTGTTGTATTGTTTGCAACACGACATGTTAAGCGTCTGTCGGGATGGTGGACAGCGACCTGATTGGACCTTGGTCTTCTTTCGTCAGCAAATGCTTGTGTTCTTAGGCTCTAATTCGGGTGAGCTTTGGGAGTCTGATTTAGTGATGACTGAGAGTTTCATTGCTGAGGTGTAATTTGTTTGACGACATAAAGTACTCGGAGGCTTAATAATAATAACAATCCTTTTTGAACAAAGCTTGTGGGGCGGGGGGTTGGGTGGCAAGATGGGAGAGGGAATTGTCGGGAGTGTGAACCCAACAAGATTCACGCTCTCCGAGACCCTATTTATGGTACGTCCATGTTGGTGAATTGCCGTGAATTTGGCTGCGATAAATATGCGGCATAAGTACATTTACTCTCAAGCATACGTCAGTCCTCACATTATGACTTCTAATGTTTGTTTGTGAATATTAATATTAACGTAAGTCAGGTTGCACCTGACCTCAGTGCTGGAACTGATTGGCAGTCAGAAAGTTGCGTCTTAGCATCGAGGTCGCAATTTGGTTTTGTTCTATAGATCAGGAAAGATTGCTAAAGGTGACAATAACAACAACTTGCATTTATATAGCGCCCTTCACGCGGGTAGCGTCCCGGAGCGCTTGACCTGCTTTTAACGCTCTGTGGGATAACAGTGGATGTGCTGTCCATCTTCTGCCATTGACTGGCCAGCTTCCTGCGTGTAGCACGTGCAGGAAGTGACATCAGCGGCGATCTGATGAACCAGACGCACTATTGAGTTTGAGTCTGAGTTTATAGACCCAAACCACTGCCTTGTAACGTCTCGTACCTCATTATAGGCATCCAAATGGTGACCACTCCATTGGGCTTTGGATGAGAATTTACAACTGGTTCACACTGGTAAGCTTGGATGCCAAGCAAGGGGGAGGGGGGAAGGTGATCATAAACACAGTCTTGAGAGGTAGGTTTTCAGGTGGAACTTAAAGAGAAATGGATAGAGAGGTGAGACGGAGAGATAGAGACAAGGAGTTCCAAAGCTTAGGGATGTGATGACTGAAGACTCCCATTTGTTTGGTTAAACCAAGGTCCTGTCTGCCCTGGTCGAGCGGATGTTAAAGGTTCCGTGAGACTGTTTGACAAGAGATGAGAGTCTCCTGATGTGAGTTGGCTGTGCGCAGAATACATCACGCGAGAGGTTTCAACATTATCACAACAAGAACTTGCATTTATATAGCGCCCTTCACACAGAGACACAAAACATAAAAACATAAGAAATGTTAGACGAAAAAAAGACTAAGGTCCATCTAGTTCACCTTCCACTTTCCCTGCGGTCGTCTGCACATATGTCCCAAACTCCCATGTACTATATCCCATAATGTTATTTCCTCAAAGAAAACTATCTAATCTCTGTTCGAAAGAATCAACGTTTCCTGCTTTAACCATCTCCCAAGGGAGCCTGTTCCACAGGTTTACTATTAACAGTGCTGCAGCTTGATGCTGAGCAGGGGGAAGAGAGGGGATGTGGCTGTAGGCACGGTCGAAGAGAAATGTCTTCAGGTGCGATCTGAAGACCGGCAAGGAGAGTGGGTGGGGGAGGGGGGTGTGTGGCAAGGTGGAGGGGTTGAGGTAGGATTCCAGTGCTACAGCGAATGGAAGGCTTACTCAACTTCTTTTCATTTAATTCCCTAAAGAAAACTGCTTCAATATAATTATGGTTTCCTGAAAGACATTAATATCTGGGGTCCGTTCGTCACCATTGGGATTTACTCTTCAACCTTGTCAGCTGCCATGAGCAATCTGATTGGAGCTTCCCGCATCCTCTATGCGCTCGCCAAGGACGATATATTTGGTAAGTTTTTCTCCTAACATCTTTCCCTTTGCTCTCGTTTTTAGATCCGAGAGTGTTTGTACAATAATACCAATAATCCTTACATTTGATGTAGCGCCTTATCATGTAGGTGAGACACCTCAAAGCGCTTCACAGAATATATTGCAAAGTGGATTGACTGTGGACAAAACATGGCAGCCAGTTGCGTAGAGCAAACAGTCGTGGATTGAGTGACCACATTTTTTTGTTTTGGTGGGATTATTACCCTCAGAAACCGATCCGCCAATCAACTAATAGCCGGGTTCCTACTTACTCTTAGATAAACAGAGGAGTATAAACTTGCACAAGGTTTTGCCCTGCTCGGGAATCGAACCCGGGTCCTCTTGTTTCCAAAGCGAGCGCACTAACCACTAGTCGATGGGACATAATACTATGCTTCCTGTTATAACGCACGTCAATTTAGCAGTGCAACATGAGCGGGAAATGGGCTTCGCTTCACTCCGAGGCCCTGGCGTTGAGATCGTCTGTGTCTCTCTCTCTCTTCTGTGTGTGTTTGTGAGTCTCTCCTCTGCATGTGTGTTTGAGTGCCTCTGTATGAATTATCTGTGCGTGTCTCTCTCTCCTCTGTCTGTCTGTATATGTGTATGTCATTCTGTGTAGGTGTAGAAAAATGTAGCTTGGCAGTAAAATGTACCTCTCAATAGCAATCGTCAATTCCCTGTAATCTTCTGCAAAATTCATCAAATTTCTCTGGAATTTTTGTTAAATATTTCCGCAATTTTCTATTGGCCCAGGTTATTATTATGACCTGTTTCACTTCCTGTTTGGGGAGTTGTGGTGCTAGTGTTGTGATTCATAATGAAATCTCATTGACTGCACGGCTTCACTTGTTTCTTGCTGAAGAGCTGGAAACAGAGATGCATTGTGTCTTCACCAGCCTGTTCGTCCATTGTTTATTGCGAGTGTGAGTGTGTGGAGAGAAAGAGAGAGAGAGAGAGAAAGAAAGAAAGAGAGGCACTGAAGACTCAATACAAAGTGATAGGAGCCTGAGTGAGGTTTGTGCTCAGAGCCACAGCACAGACGAGAACACAGAGTGATGGCAGATTGGTGGGAGCAGTGTGTGTGTGTCCATGTGTCGTGTGTGTGGGTGAGGATGGGGGGAGAAACCATGTCACGGAAAGAAATAAAGAACATGAGGAAGGATAGAAAGAAGATAGTTGATGTTGAATAAAAAAAATTGTACTTAGTGACTTATGATGCTGTTACGGGAAACCAATACGTCACTCCCTCAGTGCCCTCTGAAGACGAGATATTTTACATAGTCGCAAACATCTATAGGTTCCTGAGAGAGAGAGAAAACTGCTGCATCAGCAGACTTAATGTCTTTGGCGAGCTGCCATTCCCTGGCCAGACACTCTCTGGTGAAATACTATCCCTGAGCCAACTCCTGACGATATTTCCTTTTTATTTTTGTTCAGGTTTCTCCATGGATATTTAAGCTGCTTTCTCTTCCACCCCTGGATTGAATGACAACCTTTTGGGGTGGGGGCGTGGGGGATTATAGTCCCACGAAAGCGATCCACCAATCGACTTAACAACCGTGTTCCTATTTACTGTTAGATAAACAGCGGCGTGTGGAGTAAGGAAACTTGCCTAAGGATTTGTCCTGATCGGGAATCGAACTCGGGTCCCCTCACTTGCTAACCACTATAATACAGAACTCCAATGCCCCACAGGCAGCAATGAAATGAGTGACAGTTTTTTTTTGTCTGGTATGGGGGATTGTTGACCAGGACCCTTGAGATGGGGATTTTGAGACCCAGATAGATTCCAACTTTGTGGGATTCTACACTGAATTAGAACGATTTGCTAAATACTGAATGCTCTGAAATTCTGCCTCAGAGTAAAAACCTAGAGCTAAGTGGACTCTCTCCCCAAATAATAATAATAATAATTAATAATAATCCTTGCATTTGGTATAGTGCCTTATCATGTCTTCAAGACGTCTTAAAGTGCTTCACAGGATATATTGTAAAGTGAATTAACTGATATTTTGTGGACTTCTCTTGCTTGCTCTCATTATGTTCTGTTACTGAGAAACTTCTGTCTCACTAATTTTTTATCTGAAAATTAGAGCCAGGTTATTTAGGAATGAAATAAGGAAGCATTTTTTTCAAGCAAATTTTCACCCAAACGGTTGTGGGAATCTGCAACTCTCTCCCCCAAAAAGGCTGTGGATGTTGGATCCACTCAAATTTTCAAGACTGAGATGGATAGATATTTGTGAGGTCAGGGTATTAAGGGATACGAGGCAAAGGCGGGTATTTGGAGATGAGGTACAGATCAGCCATGATCCAATAGAGTGCCAGAAGAGGCTCGAGGGGCTGAATGGCCTCCACCTGATCCTGTGAAAGTGTATAGCAATCCGGAATTTCAAAGTGTTTCACTCCCTCTTTTTTATATGTGTGTGTATATATATATATATATATATATAAAAAAAAGAGCTTTTTGTTTCTCTCGCTCCACACGACAGCTTGAAACTTCTGTGGATTATCATCTCGAGTTTTGATAAAAAAAATTTGGGTGTGGTGGTGGGAGGAAAATGTCTGATTTGCTTGCAATTAACGCCAGGATGGGAGCGTGGAGCAAATTACAGTGCACCCTGACTGCCATTTATCCTGTTCATGGAGAATTGTTCACGGTTTTGTAACCATTTCTCCATTGAAGCTGAAAAATAAGCTCCTCAGTTGAAATGGTATTTTCTGAATTGGCTCGGAGCTTCCGAGTTGCCTGAGGTGAATGAGGTCAGCTTTGAATTGCAATACCCAAGGCGTGGGTAATTGCTGTACTTTTCAAATCATCTCAATTATCCTTTTCCGATTATGTTGCTAAGAAAGGCAGGGAGTTTGGGATCAAACCTCCAACCTTCCTCCCAGCCGGACGGTGAAGGATTAGATAAAAGGTTAATAAACTGCTTTGTGACGGTTTGAAAGGGAGGAAGAATGTAATGAAAGATGGTGCAAATGAGGACCTTGCGCGTGCTTGCGAGCTGGGAGATTATTTTTTTCTTAGAATAATAATAATGATCCTTGCATTTGATGTAGCGCCTTAGCACACCGTGAAGTCGTCTCAAAGCGCTTTGCAGAATATACTGCAAAGTGAATTGACTGCATATTTACACAAGCAGCCTTTCAATGTTTGGAGGACGTCCCAAGGCGCTGAGCAGTCGTGGCTTGGAACCCGAGCTCGGGGTTGGGAGTCAATGGTGGGTGGGGTGGGGGAAGGGGAGGGAAAGGATGACTGAAAAAGTGGGACAAAGAAGTAGGTTTTAAAGATATCCGTGTCATTGCTGGTGACTCAATGGGGGTTGGGGGGTGAGTGGGGGGCAGAGGTGTCTTGTCAGGGAGAGAGGTTGTATTTCATGGATAATACAATGTTCTTTATACTTATTGCATTGTAGAAACGTCAGCACAGAAGGAAGCCATTCGGCCCATTGTCCTTGTGTCTTGCTGATCCCCCCCCCACTGGAGCTATCCACTGTTAATCCCATTTTTCTGCTGCTTCTCTGTGCCTTTTATCTTTGCGATTCTTCCAAGTGTCTATTCAATTTCCCTTTCAAATGATATAATTGACGCGGTTTCAAGAGCCACTCGGCATAACGTGTTTCACCTCCTAACACCGCTTCGTGTGGCAAAGAAATCTTGCTAACCTCCCCCCTCTGTGCTTCCAGTCGGCTTGCGTTTACATTGCCTTGTTGCTAGACAGTTTTCCCTCTGTGCTGACATCTCTATAACTCAATGAATACAGAGAATCGAATTAAAGAAAACTCGCAGATCCTTGGGAACCAAAGTAAAAACTTTCTTATTTAGTGGTTAGTCTGGCTCATTGGAGTCGTGCAGCGAATTGGTTAGAGTGCTCTCCTCGTAATCGAGAGGACCCGGATTCCCAGGCAGGGTGAAACTTTCGGCAAGTTTCCTCACTTCACACGTCTCTGTTTACCGAGCAGCAAGTAGGAACCTGGTTGTTAGTCGATTGGAGGATCACTTTCCAAGAGTAATAATCCCTTCAAAAAAAATAATAATTTGGTTACTCAATCCACGACTGTTTGTGGGACACTTCTGTGCACAATTGGCTGCCGCGTTTCAACTACAAAATACACAGTCAATTCACTTCACAGTATATTCTGTGAAAGGGTTTGAGTCGTTTCAACTATTGTGCGCTATTCGAAAAGAGAAGGTGAATTTTTCCCAGTGTCCCGGCCAACAATCCCCTAAATAAAATTGATTGCTCATCTCGATGTTTATGGAACATTGCTGTATGCAGATTACCATTTGCAGTAACTCCTGTGAAAGCCTTTGAGACAATCTCCCCACGTGAAATGAAATATATCAAACGCAAGAACCTACATAGATTTATTTAAACTTATGAACACATCCATTTGATCATTTCTCAACCCTCTCAGCTCCATTGAACACAGTCTCCTGTCACAACTCTGTCCTCTCATCCCAGACACCAATCACCTTTGTGAAAACTTCAGCGTTGAATCCACCCTTACTTAAAGTAAACGGCTGTGTCCCTAACAAACTTCAAGGCTCTTATTTTCGGGCATTTATTGAAGAAAGGCTCAATTTCGCTACTTTCGTGACAATCTTTGGCGTTTACTATTTAGCAGGTCTAATGTATCAGTGAAATAGGTACATTTTCAATTTCCTCTTGTTTCAGCTGCTTGTAGCCTGAAGAGCAACCAACACCCAAGAGTGCTTCACAGAAAATGTAATTTCTATGCAGCTCACACATACTTGACTCTGTGCTGCTTTCAACGTTGGACTAATAATTACCTTAAAACTCCTGCCACTTGTTACTAGTTGCAACATTTCATTTCATGAGTTGGGGAGATTGGGGGGTGGGGAGAAGGCCCACGAAATATACAGTCAATTCACTTTATCGTCTATTCCCTGAAGCGCTTTGAGACGTCTTAAAGACGTGATAAAGCGCGATGTCAAATGCAAGGATTATTATTATTATTAAAGGAATGTGAGGAAAGCCTCTGAATGTCAGATCGTTGCTGATTTGGATAAAGGCCTCACCAGGTGTTGTTCCCTCTTTGTTTCTCCTCAATTTAGGAAAGCTCCTTCTTCCCGCTAAGAAGACTTCCTGCCACGGGAATCCCTGGGCTGCCGTGCTGATCTCCTCCTTCTTCGTGCAGGTACCTTCACCGTCTCCTTGTAGCTCGAGCCCCCTTCGCAAACTCTAGTGCAAGGAAGAATCTCTCTCTAGTGGGTTTGCTGCATTGATTAAACCCAACTGACCTGTTCCCTGGTGAGACTGGTCCTCTGTTCTTCCACCCCTCCTTTAACTTTATGCCACCTGGATCTCTTATACCCCCCCCCACCCACTCCCCCCCATACACATACACACGCACTACCCCAAGATTATACTATATCAAGTCCCACTAACTCATGTACACCTGTGAGTTCATAAAAGCGACAGGTACAAAGAAACATGTTTGTGTTTCATTCACACAGAATAATAATAATAAATAATCTTTGCATTCAATATAGTGCCTTATAACATCGTTGAGATGTTTCAAAGCGTTTCACAGAATAAACCGTAAAGTGAAGTGACTGTGTATTTGTGGGTGAATCACACTAGCAATTGTTCACAGCAATGTCCCACAAGCAGTCGTGGATTAAGTGACCTAATTATTTTTTAAAAAGGATTATTACTCCCAGAAAGCAATCCGCCAATCGTCTGGGTTCCTATTTCCTTCTAGGTAGACAGAGGCGTGTGGAGTAAAGAAACTTGCCCAAAGTTTCACTCCGCTTGAGAATTAAACCCGGGACACTGCTGTGAACAGTTGGCTGCCGCATTTCGCCAACAAAATAATAATAATAATAATCCTTGCATCCTTCTAGACGTCCCAAAGCGCTTCACAGAATATATTGTAAAGTGAATTGACTGTATATTTGTGGGTGAACGCGGCAGCCAATTGCGCACAGCCAATCCAATGTACGGTATATTTCATGAAGCATTTTGAGGTATCTCGACGACATGATAAGCCGCTATATTAAATGCAAGGATTATTATTATTTGTCAAGTAACATAGCATGGAAATGGGAGTTTTCAACCCATTGAGCCTGTTCTGCTGTTTTTCCCCCACATGAGTCAACTCGTCTAAACCTATTCTCCCGCTCGCACGCTCGCTCACTTTCTCCTCATCGTCTTCAAGCATCTATTCCAATTCCCTGTTAAAAGAATTTATGAACTGCCGTTCATTATTTTTTTTTAACTTCCTTTACTCAAGAATTGGCATAGATAAACAGTTTAAATCAATTCCGCGAGCAAGAAAATATTTTAGCGAAAGGGGTCTTTAATGTTGATGGAGCTTTAATATTGTCAGAAATCAATAAAACCACATGGAAGGTGATAAATAACACTTTTATAAGGTGATTAGTTCTGGTGGTGATGAACTAGGTCAGTGCTCCTGGTGTTCGAGGTCAGTGATACAATCTGTGAGAAAAGGACAAAATGCTACCTTGCGGAATGATTTAAGCACAAAACTTGAGGATCGAATTAGTCGTGAGTTCGGCAAGATTTATCCGAGTGAAAAATTTAATAGAGTACCGATGAAGAAATACATTTTTGAATTTTACTAAAGAAACGACATGGGCACGACAGGATGATAACACACACGACAGGTCGATCGGCAGATCTCTTTTCCGGGGGTAATAATCCCTTCAAATAAATGAATAAGAATAATTTGGTCACTCAATCCACCACTGTTTGTGGGACACTCCTGTGCAAAATTGGCTGCCACTTTTCGCCCACAAAATATACAGTCAATTCACTTTACAGTATATTTTGTGAAGCACTTTGAGACGTCTCAACACCGTGATAAGGTGCTGTATCAAGTGCAATGATTATTATTATGATTATTATAATATACGGGGCAATGTACATTTAACTGGAAGCAGAACACAAGAGCCCAACCAGTTCAGTAGATGGGCCAATGAGTGGCAGTTGGAGTTTAGTGTTGACAAATGCAGCAATGGTAAGTAAACTTGGGTGCCAAGCATTGCCCATTAGCCCAGGCAGAGATGGGGAAGGACTTGATTGTGATTTGGATCATCCACTGAGGGTTTTCTGTCCTTGAGGAGTCACGGTCAATAAAACAATACGCGAGGTCTGTCTGGCAGTCACCCAGCAATCTCGTTGGGTAGCTGCCAGATAAGCCTAGTATTTTATACTGGGTTTGTCCAGTATAAATTAGATAAATTAGTGAGGCCACATTTGTTGTAATACAACACAAATTGACATTTATGTGGTGCTTTCCATGTCGGGGGAATGTTCCAAGGCGCTTAAGTGTACTGACTTGGTAATGTTCAGGTTGGACCCTGTACTTTAATCCTTGCCTTTCCTTGCATTTGCATTTGATACAGCGCCATTTCACATCAAAGCACTTCAAAATATATACTGTAAAGTGAATTGACTGTATATTTTGTGGGCGAAATGCGGCAGCCAATTGCACACAGCAGTGTCCCACACACAGTCGGTGATTAAGTGACCAAATTATTATTTTTATAAAGGATTATTACCCCCCAGAAAGTGATCCGCCAATCAAATAACAACCGACTAACAATTGACTAACAACTTTCTAAAGGACATTGGAAGTGTTTGGAGAGGGTTCACAATAGGACTCCCTCAAACCTATTTTATCCCAGTGATGGTTATCCTGAATAAATGGCAAATCGTAGTGACTGTTCTTCATACTGCAAACCACCTCGAAATATCCGTATAACATAAAATTGGTACATTTCACGCTCTCTCTGGCCTCCTCACTTGTTGGACCTGAAACAAAATGGGATGTCACCTTAATTTGTCGCGATGGCTCACTGGATAATTCACGTGTGCAGCTGGAGCCTAAGAGAATCGGAAGAGGGAGAAGTGGAGTTAGGAGAGGAGAAGATAGCTCCCCATTTCTGTGTGAAAGATCCCAGGAGCATTGCTTGGGAGTGTAAGAACATACGAATTTGCTAGGTGAAAGAAGTCCAAGGTCCATCCTGGCAGCCCTTTGAGATATCTCGAAGATAAGGTGCTGTATTAAATGCAAGCATTATTATTCAATCGCAGGTCATGTGCTCTGGTTCTACTGTATCTGAAAGGCTTCACTGAAGCCAATACTTGTTGGGTATTGCCTGTTGGGCTGTCAGAAGAGGGTGTTTCTCCTGCATTCAACCATAGACCCAACCGTAACAATCATTTGAGGCTGAAAAAGCTAGATTTGTTCCAGAAATCTAAAGAGGTAATGGACATTGGATAGACAGTTGCTGTGTCCTTCTAGCTTTTGTTCTCTAAAACGCCTCACAGTGGGTTTAGATAGCAGAGTGATCCAGTTTTACAGATCGCTCTTTTTCAGAAAGAATTCACTTCTTTTATATATATATATTTTTGTGTGTGTGTAGCACCTATCGCATCAAACTGTCTCAGCATCAGCTAGGCTCAGTGGGTAGCACTCCAGTCTCTGGATCATAGGAACTTGGAACAGGAGTAGGCCATTCATCTCCACAAGCCTGTTTTTCCATTCTATTAGATCATGGCTGATCTGTAGGTCAACTCCATTTACCTGTCTTTGCTCCATATCCCTTGATACCTTCACTGAACAAACATCTATCTACCTCAGTTTTGAAAATTTCAATTGCTTCAGCACCCACAGCCTTTTGGGGGAGAGAGTTCCAGATTCCCACTCCCCTTTGTGTGAAAAAGTACTTCCTGATTACAATACCATACAAAATCACATTTGTATAGCGTCTTTCACATCGGGAGGATGTCCCAAGGCGCTGGACAGTTAAGGATTTGGGCCTGAGCAGAGGGGTTGGGATCAGAGAGGGGTAGAGGGCAGGGAAGTTAGGAAGGTGGCCGAAGGAGCGGTTGAAGAGGAGGGTCTTGAGACGTGCCTTGAATGATCAGAATGCGGTGAACATTGTCAAGGCTGACGTTCCAGGGTGATGTTGGGGGAGCACTGAATTGTCAGAGGTCCTGTCCTTTAGGTTGAGACTTGAGACCAAGGTTCTGCTTGTTCAAGTAGATGTTAAAAGGTCTGACCCCGTGGTTTGTGCTATTCGAAAGGTGGGGAGGGGGGGGGTTGTCTCGTGGTTGTGGCCAAAAATCCTCCAGATAAAATTGGGTCATTCACTCCTTTGGTTGTTTGTGGACATTTTGTGTGAATTATTGGCTGTCACATTCGCCCGCAGTCACTACACTTTGCAGTAAAAATCCTGTGAAGCGCTTTGCGACATTTTGAGAAATGAGACGCTACGTAAAATGTAAAGTACTATTAACGACAAAAAGCATTTACGCTACCCCATCGTGCGGGGTAGTGTCTCGGAGCGCTTAACCACGACGGAGCCTGATGCCGAGCCAGGGGGAGAGAGAGAGAGAGAGAGAGGGGGTGGGGGGAGGGGGGTGACTGTAGACACGGTCGAAGAGGAGGGGTGAGATGAGATCTGAATTTGTATAAATTGTTACATCAGTTGTATTCACACATTGACAGTTTTTAAAATCAGAAAGAGCTAATGCGATCCTGCCAGGTGTGGGAGGGGAGAGGAGCGGGTGGGGGTGGGAAGATTAAAATGAACTGACATTCCCTCTTGCTTGAACAGATGGAACAAAAAAGCACTATAAGGAATTGCTCTTTGCTGAAACGAATTGGCAATCATTTCCAGAACCCTAATAACTAGTCCTTAGCCACCTGAGATTTAAAAGCCTTGTGTCACGTATTTGTCCCTTCTGCCTGCTCGCAGATATATTGAATGATCAATGCGGAGGCTGACATGCGGGAGGTGGGGGTGGGGGAAGGGGGGAGGTCGGAGGAGAATAAATGATTCAGTCTGGACCACTAAAGATAATAATCCCAAAAGCTACTGAGGGGTAATTTCATTATACTCCGCTGTGATGAATGCATCTGGTGGTATTAATTTGTCTCCGTTTTGACATGTCCACTGCAGGTTCCTGAGTTAACTCCATCCTGGCTGGACTTATTCTCCCCGGCCCAAGTGACAAGCCGCTAGCATTTGCTTCATTGCTAGACAGCAAGAAACAATAAGAGAGAAAGAACTCATATATTTATATATATGGGGGGTAATTTTATTATAGTAATAAAATCTTTAAATAGTCGCAAAGGGCTTTACCAGATTTACTGTAAAGTGAAATGACTGTGTGTTTTTGCGCACAGTAATGTCCTACAAATAGCAAATGAGTGACCAGTATTATTTAGGGGTTTGTTGGGCAGGACACCGGGAGACAGAAATAGCCAGATGAGACCTCGATTTAACGTTGGTTGTGAACGAAAAAGAACTGGTGGCGGTGGGGGAGGGAAGGGGTGGTGGGACGGTGGAATTGCCAAAGAATTCCTTTTTAATATTCAGGGATCCCATGCTTTCCCGTAATTCTTCACTGCAGAGACGACAATAATAACAATCCTTGCAAATCCTTCCAATAATCTGTGCGCAATTGGCTGCCGCGTTTCGCCCACAAAATATACACAGTCAATTCACTTTACAGTATATTCCGTGAAGCGCTCTGAGACATCTCAAAGATGTGGTAGGCACTATATCAAATGCAAGAATTATTCTTTTTTGATATAGCGTCTTCAAGACGCCTCAAAGCACTTCACAGAATATACTGTAAAGTGAATTGACTGTATATTTTGTGGGCGAAATGCGGCAGCCAGTTGAGCACAGCAGCGTCCCACAAACAGACGTGACCAATTTATTATTATTTCTTTTTGGAGGAATTACATTTTCCAATTTTAAACTCAGCAATGAACTTGCTTTCATGATTATTCCATATGCGGGGTTGGTTGGGAGGGGGAGGGGAGCAAGGCTAAACGCTGTGTAGTTCCACATTACCAAGAACCTGGGGCTGGGACGCACTTGAAAAGAGAAGTTGAATTTAAACTTCATAAACCTCTCGTAAATCACTTTTATGTAGTAAGGATTCTGTCCACCCTCTCCTGAGTATCTTGCGAAGCACATCGCAATGACTGATTCATCGTCTTAAAGTTTTTGCTGCAATTATAATTCACATTCCCACCACCTTCCTCCTGCCCGTGACTTCTGATGGATAAACATCATGCGATTTGAAAGCTGCAAAGGGATCATCCATGCTCCTGAAGTTAGTAATAATAATAATCCTTGCATGTGATATAGGGCCGTATCATGTTGTCGAGATGTATCAAAGCTCTTCACAGAAAAAATACTGTAAAGTGGAGTGATTTGTGTTTTGTGGGTGAAACGCGGCAGCCAATTGCGCACAGCAGCGTCCCACAAACAGTCGTGGATTGAGTGATCACATTATTATTTTTTTGAAGGATTATTGCTATTCAAATTGCCTTCCTCTACAGTTTTAACCAACATGTAGGTGATTAAGAGTCCGTTATTTTTCATTTCACATTATTATCGAGGAGTCCCATAGCGGAGTAGTTAGCGCACGCGCCTCGTGAGCGAGAGGAGCCTGATACAATTCCCGTGCGGGTGAAACCTTAGGCAAGTTTCCTTTCTCCACATGCCTCTGTTTACCTAGTAGTAAATAGGAACCTGATTGTCAGTCAATTGGATCGCTTTCCGGGGTCTATAATCCACCCCCCCCCCACCCCCCCAAAAAGATGGTCAATCCACGACTGTTTGTGAGACACCGCTCTGTGCAACTGACTGCCACGATTCGCCCAAAAAGTACACAGTCACTCCACCTCACTCAGTGAAACGCTTTGAGACGCCTCAATGACCTGATAAGACGCTACCTTATCAACCGCAAGGACCATTATTATTTCTTAGGGAAATCACTTTTTTAGGTATCAGCTAGTCGTGGTGAACGAGCGAGATCCTGTGACACCAATCCTTTCCTCCTCCATCTCCCCAGCCCGATAACACGGCTCCTGGCAGCAATCTGCCTTCCCTAGGTCCCTCACTGTGCACAGCCAGCTCTCCATCAGCCAGCCCCGTGGGCCTAAATAGCTGACAATAAATAAAAGTGGAAGCCATCTGGTGAGATGTGAGGAAAAGAAAACCAAACCTGCTGATTGAGTCACGCTGGCCTCTTGTTCCAATTTGTTGGGGCCTCCACTCTCACCTCTCCTTCCCCGCTTAGCAGCGAGATTTGAGCCCAGCAGGTTTCTTCAAACCTCCATTGCCCCTTTGCTGTCACCCGCCTCACAAGGAGTTAGGGGCCCTTCATTCCCTCAGCTGCTGCACCCTTTGCTGAACAGCTGAAGGGCTTTTTCCTCCAATACATCATCGTCAACAGTGTGTGTGTATGACTGTGTGTGTGTGTTTCTGTGTGTGGGGGCACGTCTCAAAACATACCTCGTTGTCCCCGCTTTTAGCTGTCTTTCTCCTCCCCACCCTGCTCGGCTCCCATCCCCCCAGGCCGAGTGTCCAGCCAGCACTGTGAAGCGCTTTGAGACGTCCTCCCTCCCGACGTGAGAGGTGCTGTGCGAAAGCGTGTCAAAGCACACGTCAACAACAACAACAACAACACATCGCGGTTGTACAGCTCCTTTCATGTCAGGAAGACGTCCCAAAGCGCTGGAAAGTCACCCGAGCTGGTGGCTAGGATCAGGAGGGTTGGAGGGCGGGGAGGGTAGGGGTAGGAGGGTGACCAAAGGCACGGTTGCAGAGGAGGTTCTTGAGACGGAGGCATGAGATGGGGATTGCAGCCACTGTCATTGTAAGGAACAAACTCCATTTGCATGTTGTTTAATGCTCTTTACTGGATATGGTTTTCACTGAATAGTTCCTGCAGTGAAATCTTCTAAAGATATTTTGGTTTTGTGTAACCAAAGGACTCGCTATCAAGTCCTTGACATGTGGACAATTTGATCCCTCACTGATGGGAACGTGACGTGTATTTTCCTGGAGTCAATGGAAAATCTCCCGTGTATTCTGTGTTGAGAGTCAACTCGTTCAATAATTGTAGTTCCAGCAGGCAGATTCTTGTGTTATTCAGTGACAGGAGCGTAAAAATCAACAGCTCTTGACATGGCATTGGTAGAGAGAGATGTATTAGTAGAATACAAAGTTGATTTACGGTGATGTGCCTGCACTGGAATTAACTCTTAATGGCTTCAGGCAAGACAAACCTGTAACTTAGTTTAATATGCACTGTTTGTTTCATTGCACTGTTGATCTGCATTCGGCTCCGAGGGGAAACCTGGGCCATTCAAAACATCTCCCGTGTCTGTGAGTGACCCGGGAGGCAAATGAGTCCTGTGATAATCAGTGAACAGAGAAATAATGCACCTACCGTTTGTCTCTGACACTTCCTTGGATGGTTTGTTACATGTTGTTTCAATGGGCGTCCTTGACTCACTGACTGTTGGAATAGGATTTCCTCTTTGTATTTTCAGCTTGTGCTGTTTTCGGGCAAACTGAACACCATTGCCGGCATCGTGACCATCTTCTTCCTCCTGGTCTACGCAGCGGTTGATCTCGCCTGCCTAGCGCTGGAATGGGCTTCCGCACCAAACTTCAGGTACGCGCATAATCTGTCCATTAGAACAAGTCTAATAATAATAATAATCCTTGTGTTTAACATAGCCCCTTATTACGTCTTCGAGACGTCTCAAAGCGCTTCACAGAATCTACTATATGTCTTTTGGGTGAAATGCAATAGCCAATTGCACACACCAGTGTCCCACAAACAGTCATGGATTGAGTCACTAATGTTTTTTTGAGGGATTATTATCCTTGGAAAGCGGGAAAACAACCAGGTTCCACTTACTGCTGGGTTAACAGAGGCATGTGGAAACAGGCAGAGGAAACCTGCCTAAGGTTGCGGCCCACCAGGGAATTGAGCGTGGGATGCTCTCGCTCATGAGGCGAGCGCTACGCTAAACACTATGCTACGGGACTCCAGGTTGAGATGATGCCTCAACAAGTAGAAAATAAACTACTTGGAGACCCAACCGACCCGATTTGCCTTTGTTAAAGAGCCCTAAGTGTTATCACTGTTTTAATGGCCATGATGCTCGAATAACAAATTAAATGCACCCTTTTCAACCCTCTTCGGCGGTTAAATAGCTGCGCAAAACTGCACACCAAATGCTAAACATTAACATAAATCAAACCCGAATAGTGGTTTTACACTTCTCATACGGATGTAACGCAGAACATTGGGGAATGTCACACTTTGGTGGCACTTTGATGGAGAGCCAGGGCTGTTCTACCTTAGCTCAGCACCATTCACATGCCATAAAAACAAGCCGGCCACTTTAAGTGGCTTTCTAAATAATTGTTTTTGACCCAGGTAATGGGAATATTCACAAGAATATTCCGCCATCTGCCATTTGCATGTGTTTTTACTTTCTGCACACAGTTTAGCTGCACTAAAGAACCGGCTAATTTCCTTAAGAACCGGTCATTCAAAAGATTCTTTATAAAACATTGAAACAAAAACACTTTTTTTTCTCTCTCTCTCACCAGCTTTACTTTTTAACAGCAATTTTCTCGGCTGGATGCTTTGATTACAACCAAGTGGATTGTAAAGATAATTGCATCAAGCGAAATTGAATTCTACTCTGCACTCAGTAGAATATTGTCCTGGAGAATAATGTAATCCCGATTTCAAATGATTAATGTCACCAAAAAAGTTTTGAAAGTAAGAAGGAAAGAAAGTATCACATTCATGTTTTTTAAATTAGAGATGTTTTCAGCAGTGTCTCTGGAATGAGATTATTAATTTTCTTGGTGCATTTCATGTCATGAACCTAAATATTTTTTTTCGGAATCCCGATACGAAAGGGGAATCTGCAAATGTAAATTTGTTGTCGCTGCTGCTTTCGTTTGTTGGTGAAGTTCTATTGATTTATTTATTAAGATATTACCTGTGTGATTCATTTAATTTTCGAAGTATTTAAGAGTAGAAACTGTGCGTGTGAGTGTGTATGTGCACCAAGAGGCTAGAGGGATTTGTACACGGTGTCACACACAATACAAGGTGAATTCTGATCACTGCTCCCCCATGTTTGAAGTAAAAATATACAACACTGCTGCGCGCTGTGAGGTTCAAGCACTCTGGGGCGCTACCCTGTATAGAGGGTGCTATATAAGAGCAAGTTGTTTGTGTTGTTGTTCTGGCGAGGATTACGACCTTGAAGAGTATCTGAAGTTGCAGTGAAGACCCGTGACTTGCTCCGTGGGTGATTAGACCCTTGGGATCAGTCTGTGTCCTTTCTGTTCTCAGGCCAACCTTTCGTTACTTCACCTGGTACACCTGTGTGCTGGGCATCATTGGCTGTGGGATCATGATGTTCCTTATCAACCCGATCTACGCCTCAGCCAGCATCGCCTTCATGCTCATCCTCCTGGTGGTGCTTCACTACGTCTCGCCCTCCAGCAGCTGGGGTTACATCAGCCAGGCTATCATCTTCCACCAGGTACTGAGAGGTCTTGCCAACACGTCAGCTGTGCATTCTAGCCACCTCGGCTCGAGGTCAGACCCCGAGCCTTCGGCTCCCCTCTCGACTCTCTACCCCCTCCTCGCTCCCTCCCTTCCCTCCCCTCACCCTGACCATTTCCCCTTTGGGACATCCTCCTGACGTGAAAGGCGCTCTATAAATGGAATCTTGTTGTTGTGTCTCTAGATAGTGATGCTATTCATCTTATAGTGTACAGGCTCCTCTTACCCCCCCTCCCCCCACCTCGTGCAGGGTAGCATTCCAGAGCGCTCTCTTGCACTGGAGTCACACAATCCAAATTTCTTGCTCTTTGGCAATGAGTTAGCATTAATTTTATAGTGAAATCAATTTTTTCCGTCATAATCGTTAGATGGCACTAGAGAGGTTCGAGTATGTAGAAGCCTCTTCAGGCCATCTGATCTCATCCGCCCAGAAGACCCACATCTTCTATTGTATTGTAGCCCCATCACAGCGTCAAGCTTGAATGGCCTCACATGCCCTTTCTGGACAAAATGACTGGAATGATTTTTTTAGGAAGGGTGGTAAGACAGGGATGCTTGATGGGAGGATAGGTGATCGGTGGTGAGATCAAAATAGACCCAAGGTCTTTCTTCACCTGAGCCAATCTTGTGATCTTGGCTTCAAGGTCTTGCTTGGTCCAGTAATGCTTCCTGGTTTCTGCCACTGAAATTGCCCTTCGCAAACGGATGTGGTCTCATTGTGGAGTCCTATAGCTCAGTGGTTAGAGCACTCGTCTCGCAGCGAGAGGACCCAGGTTTGATTCCCGGGCAGTGGCGAAACCTTGGGCAAGTTTACTTACTCCACACGCCTCTGTTTACTCAGCAGTAAGTAGGAGCCCGGTTATTAGTCGATTGGCGGATCGCTTTTCCAGGGGTAATAATTCCTTCAAAATAAATAACAATAATTTAGTAACTCAATCCACAACTGTTTGTGGGACGCTGCTGTGCGCAATCTGCTGCTGTCTTTCTCCCGCGAAACATATAGTCAATTCACTTTACAGTATATTCCGTGAAGTACTTTGAGACTTCTCGAAGACGTGATAAGGCGCCACATCAAATGCAAGGATTATTTTACATATATATTATTAATATATTAGTCTGCTGCATCAGTGCGTAAGTGTGTAAAGGTCTGATGTTTTTCCCAGGTGAGGAAATACCTCCTGATGTTGGATGTGAGGAAAGATCACGTGAAGTTCTGGCGGCCCCAGATCCTGCTGATGGTGGCTAACCCCCGAACCAGCACCCAGCTCATTGGGTTTGTGAATGACGTGAAGAAGAGCGGTCTATACGTGTTGGGCCACGTGGAGATCGGGCACCTCGGTAAAATAACACCTCATCTTTTCCTCTCTTCGTTTTGCTCTTGTGCAATTCAGTAGAACTGATACAGTGTGGAAAATGGAGAAATCAAATCTGATCTGGTGTTCTCTCCAAAGAAGATTGTGGGTTCAAGCCCCGCGTCGGCACTTGGATCACATTGTCTAAGCTGACGCTCCAATGTTGCGCTGGGGTGGGTGGGTGGGTGTGGGGGGTGGTTTGGGGTGTTGCATTACTGGAAGTGCGGTCCTTCGGATAACAGGTTAAAATAGAGATCCCATGGCAACAAGTGGAACTTGCTTGATCTGCCCATATTCTCGTGTTCCTAAAACGTGTGACAGAGAAACTACTGTGTAAACGTAGAAACAGGAGGAGGCCATTCAGCCCCTCAAGCCTGTTCTGCCATTCTATAAGACCATGGCTGATCTGTACCTCAAGTCCAATTACCCGCCCTTGCCCCCTGTAATCCCTTAATACCCTGTCCTAACAAATATCTTTCCATCTCAGTCTTGAAGATGTGAATGGATCCAGCCATAACCCACAGCCTTTTGGGGGAGAGAGTTACAGATTCCCACTACCGTTTGGGTGAAAAACTGCCTCCTGATTACACTAAAATGAGTAAAATGAGAGCGCTGTAATTTAGAATATTCGCTATGATTGTGTGTTTAATAAGTGCTGTAACGTGTGTAAGGATAGGTCCTGGTTCCTGTGTAACTTGGAAATCACCGACTGACTGACTGACTGAAATATGTGCCATCTCTCTCTCTCTCTCTTTTTCTGTGTTTCTATAGACGAAATGCCTTCTGACCCTCTTCAGGCCCAGTACGACTCCTGGCTAAGCTTGGTCGACGCATTGAACGTAAAATCGTTCGTCAGCCTCACTCTGTCCGACTCAGTGCGGCACGGAGTACAGCACCTATTGTTCATCTCCGGGCTCGGTAAATAGACTGAAAAAAAAAGGTCCAAATTACATACGAAACAAAAAGTTGGCCTGTGTTTAGGGAATCAATGCTTCAAAATATCCTGTACACGGTAGCTTTGATTGTTTTAGATTTTACCCGAGTGTTATCTTGGCCCAGTCAGTAGAGTAGCACTCTTACGTCTGGGTCACAAGGTTAGGGGTTCAAACCTCCCACGTGAGCTCACAGCCCTGTATCCTTACGAGGTACCATCTCCATCTTGGGGTGGACGTTAAAAAGCATGATTCAAAACGAGAAGGGAGTTTCTGTCTCCTGGTCGACAAGTCGTTCACTTCATAATAATAATAATCCTTGCATTTGATGTAGCGCCTTATCACGTAGTTGAGTCATCTCAAAGTGCTTCAGAGGATATATGGTAAAGTGGATGGACTGGCTATTTTTGGGTGCGAAACGTGCAGTCAGTTGCGCACAGCAGCGTCCCACAAACAGTCGTGGATTGAGTGAGCTTGTTTTGTTGGGAGGCATCATCACCGTTACTCCTGGAAAGTGATCCGCCAATCGACTAACACCCGGGTTCCTGCCTTACTGCTAGGTAAACAGTGGCGTGCGGAGTAAAGAAATCCGCCTCAGATTTTGACTCGCTCCCGATTCAAACCCGGATCCTCTTGCTTGCGAGGCGAGAGCTCTAACCACTACGCTACGGGTCTCCTCAATGTTTCATTGGGACCAAATTTGCTGTTACAATCGAGTCTAACTACTTGACAGTCATGGCCTGTGAAGCTTTGACGTTTATAGCCACAAAATCAAATGCAGTACAAGCCATTGTTTTGTTATTTCTCCCTGTTCTCAGGGGGAATGAAGCCCAACACTCTGGTCCTTGGTTTCTATGACGACTCGGTGCCCGAGGATTCTTTCCAACAGTTGCCGGGGTTCTCCTACGGCGGTGGCTTGTCTGGCCTAGCGGAGGACGAGTCCAGCCTGCAGCCGCTCTTCCCTCCCATCAGGGCCGCCCGCTCCCCCAAGGCGCTGACGGCCAAGGAGTACGTGGCCATCATCTCCGACGCCATCAAGATGCTGAAGAACGTGTGTCTGGCGCGACACTTCTCCCAGCTGGACAGGAGGGAGCTTCTGTCCCGTAAGAGCGGGCAGGTGTCCATCGACGTTTGGGCTCTGAACCCACTCCGTCCGGACAGCGCCAAGTACGTAGACACGTGTAGCCTCTTCCTGCTGCAGATGGCCTGCATCCTGAACATGGTGCGCTCCTGGCGAGGGGCAAAACTGCGGATCTTCCTGTGCGTGGAGTCCGGCCACAGCACTGGGGAGCACGAGAAGAAGCTCCAGCAGCTCCTGGGACAACTGCGCATCAAGGCCTCCATCCGCACCGTCTATTGGGACCCTGTGGCCGCGCTCCACTGGCACAAGCAGATGCCCAAGGACGACGGCAGCGAAGAGAGCGGCACGAGCACCTACGCCAACACCTTCCCGTCCAACTCCATGAAGATCTCCGACGAGTATCTGGTTGCCGTGAACCAGATGATTCTAGAACAAGGGCCAGACCCGGCCGTCAGGTTCCTGTACCTGCCCCGCCCGCCCGCAGACACCTCGCTCTATCTCAGATACTTGGAGCAGCTGGACATCATGACCCAAAACCTGGGGCCGACCCTCTTAATACACGGTGTCAGTGCCGTCACCAGCACCGATCTGTAGCTCAAACCCCCACTCCCCCTCCCCATCACTATCTCTCCCTCATCACCAACCCCTCTCCCCACTCCCAAATCCCCCCCTCACCCCCTCCCAACCACCTCCCCACCACCCCCTCCCATGGTCACGTGCCGAGTCTTATCGCACGTCGGGATTCATTCTATACTGTTGCCAGGGGACATTGCTCGCAGAGTAATAAGATGTTTACAGGGCAGAAAAAAAGGACCATTGTGTCTGTACTGGTGTTCGCTCCCCCACTGGAACTCTCCAATCTAATCCCATTCCCCAGATCTCTCCCCCAACAAATGTATTGAATTACCCTTTTGAAGGTGTGATGATCTTGCATTTCAACAGCCACTTGAGGTTAAACATTCCGGTCTCTCTGTGCGGGAGCAAATTCTCCCGATTTTTTTCGCCTCTTTTGACAATATTCAGTTTATGCCAGCTTATTGCTCTCTTTTTCCTTACTGCCTCCCTCCCTCCCTCCCTCCTCTGCCAGAAGATAGGGAATTGTGTTACTTCTTGCCTCTCCACCTGCCAGCCCATTCACCCGTCAACAATACCAGTTTTTCGAACTAACTATAATTGTGGGTTTCTTTGGAAAATAAGCAACTTAGGAGCGGTGTGCGTGTAAGAGTGAGTGAGTGGTTGCGTGTGAGAATTTGTGTGTTGGAGAGTGAGGGTGAGAAACAGTGCCTTACCTAAATAAGATTAAAATAAATTCAGCAGAAACATTTTCTTCAGTTACTTAAATATTTCCGTGCGTGTGCGAGTGTGCGTGTGTGTATGTGTGTATGTACTCGCACAAATGTTGTGATCCATGTTTGCCCCTCACATCTTTAGAAGAAGCAGTAACATAACAGAGCCTGCGTTCTGGGAGAATCATGATCTGGTTCCAGATCTGGTTCAGGGCTGACTTCTTCGAACCAGAGGCTGAAATAATTGCTCGAAAGAGTTCATCTAACGGAATTTTACAACTCTTTAAGGTGCCTGACACTTAGTACTAATCACAGTGTTAAAAATGCATCTCTTCTGTGAAAACGATGAACACATCTGGTGGTTGACAAATGGTGCGGATTTAGAATTCTGATCCTTACATTCGGGTTCATGCACCAACAACACAGCGAGATTTGCTGTTATCACAGCAACCGCCACCCCCCCCCCCACACACCCATAAACCGAAATTCCACTTCCTCTTTCCCCTCGAGAACAATTTTGTCTTAAGAATTTAATTGAGGAGGAATTCTTCAACCTGGTCTTAGTTTGGAGGCAGTTTTTCCGCGGGTATCAAAAGGAAACCAGCAACGAACAACGTACATTTATGTATAGCGCCTTTCATGGACTAACGTGTAGGTAACCAGCCTCCAAACTAACAATAATCCTTGCATTTGATACAGCGCCTTATAACATCATTTAGACACCTCAAAGCGCTTCACCAAATATATTGTAAAGTGAACTGACTGCATGTAACCAAGACTGAATTGAAGAATTTTTCCTGAGTCCACACCACCATCTTATATTTTGACCAAATGACCTTTTCGTTATGACCTTGCAGGCTAAGACTAGGAGCAATTTTTTAGGACACATATCGTCCTCCAAACTATACACTGTGTCCCGAGATATTATTGCTTAACAGAAATCTATCTAATTTATTCTTGAAAGAATCAACACTTTCTGCTTGCATCTAATTCAGCACAGAACAGGGATTAAACCTGCAACCTTCCCCGTCCGGCCTATATGTCTGAGCAACTTGGTTTCTATGTTGCCCTCGCACGTTTCAGTGAAAGATATTTGTGTGGACAGCATGGCTTGAGAATGGTTTTGCTGCACTGCTGTATGTTGGCAAACACTGGCTTTGGTTCTAGAGTAATAGCGGGTGAGATGGGGAACCAGTTTACACTGATGTAATGAGCATTGCTTAAGTAGAACTGCTTACGAGCTCACGAGACAAAGGGATTATTATTATTTGAATAATAGGAACATATATGTTTGTTAGGAATATACTGCATTGTCTTAGCTGCTGATTTTACTTTGATATGGATTTGTTTTTTCTGTGGCAAAATGTATCTGCAAATAATACTGTCGGCGTAATTTGCAAAGAAAACATTTATGCCCGATTATTGTTTTAGCCTTTTTTTCTAATGTACTATATAAAGAAAGGGACGATGGCTGTGTATTAAAACTCGAGGTTTCAGAAAGAAATTATTTGCCTTTATATTGCTCGGCACAGCGGAAATCCCTGATGTATCTGAAAAAGCCGGAGATTTCCATAGAGAGTGAAATTGCACGGCTGTGAATGTCTCACAGGCACTCCAGGCTGATCAAACTTCATCAGTGCTTAAATTGAAGCTCTTCAATTGTGTGTGTGTGTGGGGAGGGGGGGAGGATTCTCCATAAAGATTTTCCTATTGGCAACAGCCAGTGTAACAGGAGGAAATGAACACCAAGGCAAGGCTTTCAGTCACACCGAGGGTGAGGGTTCAGGGATGCGAAGGGCAGCTTAAAGATGGAAACCAGGAAGTATTTATTTGTATAACTGGAACGAGGTTAACAGCCCAGGGCATTGGATTTGTCTGAGAAAAGCCAGAGTTCCTGCTTTGGTGACGGCAATCGCCCGATCAGTGACCGGCCAGACACCCTGTGCTCAGCTCACTGGCCGTTTCACAGCATCTTGTGTTTTTAAACAGAAATAAGACAGGCATGTTGTAAGGTATCAAGATCATTTCTGTGCAATGCGTTTGCAGACATTTCTGGTCAAGGATGTACTTCCTTAAATATCTTGCTTCTATTTGAAATGAACGGGGTTTAACCCCACCAAGGGGGATTAAACTGTATATTTTGTGAGCAATTTATGCACTTCAATGATCTCTGAAATGGTGTGTTTACAGAGTATTACTGCATTTTATAGTATGCCCTGTGAAGCACTTTGAGACATCCTGACATGAAAAGCACTATATTAAATGTAAGGATTATTTTCTTGTCACAAAACCATCAAAAGCCCTGGAATTTTTCAGTGCAGAAGAAGGTCATTCTGCCCATTGTGACCAGGATTCTTGTCTGGAGGAGATAGTATTATTCACTGAATAATATTCCTGATATTATTCACTGGGTATATCAGTTCCTATCCGATTAAATCGTATCAAATCCCATTTTTACAGAGAACAAAAACAGGATTTATTTTCGAAACTAATTTTCTGGGGATGTACTTTTTTAACAAAAAAATCTATGTTTAATAGAGCAATTTGCGAACATTTTTATAGTTGATCCAAAATGCTACAGGTATCCAGTACCGTAAAAAGAATAGAGAATTATTTTGTATTTGCTTGTGCACATTGATATCCGTATAAAGCTGCCCTCAATACAAACGTTTTGTCCGAACACCATAGGATTCCTGTCAAAGGGAGAATGTATTATTCATTGTGTATTTACACCGTGTCCTATCGAATTAAGGGGGGAACCCATCTGTGTGCTCATTGCAATAAATCGCTAAACGTACCTGTCTCTCTTCATCTGATACCGTCTGTCACAGAAGTCAATATGTAAGTAATGTTAATGTGACCGTACTACATGCTATCGATCGTCCAAGGGATTTATGGCTCAGGTTCACTTTGCTTTTCCAACTTGTCACACAGTGGTCGGTACCCATCAATAACTCACTCGTTTGGTAAACTCGGCACCCAGCCAGACATTGTAGAGTGAGAGGGTACTTTTTTCTTTAATGAATATAACAACACAAAACAAAGGTCTGAATATAAAGCACGTTTGCTCTTTGGATCATTAACTCTTTGTGTTTGCCGTTGATGTTCTGCAGGAGCTACTGTTAAAGCCTCTTTCTTAGATGGATTTTAAGGAATCTGAACTTAACCCGTGTGGCGTGCTTCAAGACGTTTTGATGAGGTAAAGCGCTGGGTTTTAAATGCCTACATTTCAAGCAAAATGAAAATGTGTAAGCCAATTCATTAATATATGAATGTAAGGCTGTATGACTCAATTATTGTTAGTATATACCTCAATCCTGACTAAATCCCTCCACCTTGTCCCCTCTGCCTGTCTTCCGATCGTAGCTGAAAACATTCCTCTTCACCCATGCCTACAGCCGCGTTTCTCTTTATCCCCACAGCTTGGCATCAAACTATGGCATTGTTGATCGCTCTACCCCACGTGAAAGGCTCTCTGTAAATGTAAGTTGTTGGGTAGAAGTAGTGTATAGCAGGAATTATAGCTAAGCACCCTCATCCCAATGTCCTGCTCATTGTATATTTTTCCTCTCCTGATGTGGTTGTGGTCTCTGCCTTATTTGTCACTTCTGGCAAAGTGTTCCACGTTGTGACATGGAGACAAACCTCTGCCTCGTCAACCGTGCAAACAAATGCACAAATCGGAAGAGTGACTTGGTCGCTCACTCCCCGGCTGTTTGTGGGACGCTGCTGTCCACAATTGGCTGCCGTGTTTCGCCCACAACATACACAGTCAAATCCACTTTACAGCATATTCTGTGAAGCGCTTGGAGAAGCGCCGACCATGTGATTAGGCACTATCAAACGCAAGAATTATTATGACATTTGATATTTTACCCCAGAATCCGCTGGCAGGAACGGCTGCCTCATTTGTCTACAAAAACCTTCACTGCACTTGACGATAATTATCTACGAAGTGTCTTGAAGACGTCTAGATACGTTTAGATATAGTGAGGCTTTTATTAAAACTCAGTTATTCTCCTTTATGAACACTAAATTAATATCGCTGGTTAGAAGAAAGCATAAATACAAGAGATTTTAACATATGTGACTAAAAACATCTGTGGTTAATTGCTTTTCCAGTGAATTTAAACAGTAACTTAGAAGGAAATGCAAATAATGATTTGGCAGAACAGTATCTGAATACAGGCATGATTAACGTTGAATTTTTAACTTCCCTATTTCCAGAAGCCACAGAATATCTATAGACCAGGTCTTTGCCTGGAGAGAGAGGAAAAACTGTCATAAAGCAAAAGACTTTTATCAAGAGTATTTCTCTGCTAAAACGCCAATCCGGCAAAATATATTCTTCCGAC